TCTTGCCCAATGGCTTAGACGATGACTGAGGAGTAATTCCATGGAAGGGTTGATCAGTGGGCGTCAACAACAGTCTTAGGGTGGTCTGCTTCAGAGAATTCGATCTTCTGCTCAGACCACTTCATCTTGGGGGTAGCCCCCTGCCATGTCGAACAAACTTCGCGCTCCACTTTTTTGTACTCTCGCTTCGAGGAGTATGCCGTGGAACCTCCGAAGATATGCGAAACATGAATATGGGAATCTGGGTATGCTGAGTCCGAGTCCTGAGTAGCTGCTTCAGTGGCCTTCTCGACTACACGTACTCGCTTACCCTTCTCCAATGCCAATTGTTTTGCGAGTGGCTTTTTGAAAACGAAACAAGCTTATAGGGAGTGCTTGTCCGATTTGTGTATAAGGCACCATATTTTCTTCGTATCGTCGCCTTGTGGGTCTGGGTGCTTGGGTGGTTCCACGTATTCTGCTACGAGGACTTCTATTTGAGCTTTCCTTTTCCCACTCTTGCGACTCTTCTTCTTGCTTGACTCAGGTGCGTCCTTGGCTGGTTTCTTCTCTCCCCCCTTCTTCGGCTTATCGTTCTTGCGTCTCAGTGCGTCGTCCGCGTGAGCGCATCGATCGACAATCTCGAATAGCTTTCGAGCAGTTGTGATCTGTCTCGTCGCCAACTCCTAGGTGGTGTAGCGATCTCTAACACCAGTCTTAAAAGAGCGGATCACAGAAGCGTCGATGATCTCGGGGATCATATTTCTGCACTCATTAAAGCGCCGAACGTAGTCCCTCAATGATTCACCCGGATTTTGTGTCAACGCGTGTAGGTCATCTTCGATCGCGTGGCGCTTGTATGTTCCTTGGAAGTTGGCGACGATCTGCTGCCACAGATCTGCCCATGAAGAAATCTAGTATGGTGGGAGGTGGACTAGCCATAAACGTGCAGATCCTTTCAACGCCGCTTGCAAATAATTCACCAACACGTTGTCGTCTGCTCCGGCAGCATAGAATACTGTGGAATAGACCTGAAGGAACTCCTCAGGGTCAGTGCTCCCTTCGTACTTCTATATTGCTCTCGGTCAAAATCTCTCAGGCTATCGAACATCTCATAGAGCACGACTGAAAGCTCTACACCCGCCGCCGGGGGCGGTGGGTTGTCGGCGATCGTATGTCCTCCGTGGATGTCTGTCTGATGACGAGGATGATGAGGATGACGATGATGATGATGAGTCACTTGGTTCCGGGGTACGAATACGAGGATGACGTCCAGGTTCTCGAGAATCCTGTCGTCGCCCACCGTTGTTGTCCCGACGGCGATCTCCGTCGTCGTCATCTTTTTGGTGGCGTCCTTGATCAGTCTCGCCCGGCATCCGCTGTTCGCGATCATCGCGTTCGTGGCGGTTATCACGGTCTTGGTTCTTGCTCGAGTGTCCTCCTCGCTCTTCGTTCTCCCGACGTCGTGAAGAGACGAGATGTCGGGAACGGTTTTCGTTGTCTAGCGCGTCGTGCTTCTCGGCGGCCATTCAAATGGTCACGGAGATCGCTGGTGCCACGAGGTGGAGGGGTGGCTTGACGAGGTGATGCCCGCTGCCCAGGTAGTTCGCCATTGGCACCACCAATTGGCGGTTGTTTTGTCGGTACTCCGGCGGCGGCCTCCTCGAACGCGTTACTGAGGTTAGCCACTGATTCCCGTAGTCGTTCTGTCCACTGTGCGAGATCATCGTTCAGAACGGGATCATAAGGGGTTTCCCTCAGTATTGCGTTGATGGCCCTGATGTGCTGGGCCAGTGTAACCACTTGATCCTCCGCTTATGCGTTAGCGTGCGCAGACATGCTGGTCCTATCGATAACGAACACATCACGTGGTGTACTCGTCGATGATGAGGCCTGGTCTTCGAGCAAGTGTAGAACCGACAGCTCGTGGGGATCGACGTCGATTACCCCAACGAATCGATCTGAGATAACTGTCGCTCCTTGTTCCTTGTCCGCATCTCTAAGAGAGATTTGTGACTGCTGGACCTTAGGAGGTGACGTCCTCATGGCACTGAGAAGAACCTTGCAGCTTGAGAGGTCGTGATTCTTTGTCTTGTGAATATGACAATAGACATCACGGGTTAGAGAAGTACATTGAATTCCACGCTCTTTGCAGGCACAGATCTCAGCTTGTACGTCGAGAAAAACCCAGCAAGCCTACAAGGTGTGTTTCCTGGTTTTGTGGATAAAACACCAGGACCTTGTTGCCTCAGAAATTGTCCTTGTCGGCTCGTGATTCTCGTCGGAAGGACAAGATTTGGCCGCATTAGGATCCTTCTCGGGCTTGGATGTCGTCGATGTTCCGTTCTCCACTTCTGAGGGAGGATTCTTCGACATGGAGCCATCCAGGGTTGTAACCACGGTGTTCTCGCTTCAGGTCATTGATGGACCAGCATTGTTGAAGTAGAAACTCCTTGGTTGATGCTGGGGTTGACGCTGTTGTCGACGAAGCTTGATGACACTTGAGTACCAAAGCCCCCTACCTGGTGCGCCACTATCGACGGGGGATACCGTAGACCGGATATAGAGGGTATTGGGGTACGTTGGTACGAGAATCTACGTAATACGACATCAAGCAAATAAAAGACAAGGATTATACTGGTTCGGGCCCCTTGATAGGTAATAGCCCTAATCCAGTTGGTATGGGATTATATGATGGAAACCACAAAGACAAGGATTATACTGGTTCAGGCCCCTTGATAGGTAATAGCCCTAATCCAGTTGGTATGGGATTATATGATGGAAACCACAGATTACAAAGGAAATAGTAGAACTCAATGATACCGACAAGACCGTAGTCGAGTTGGTTCGACTAGATCACCCGGCGACTTGGCTCCTGGCTCCGACTTCGTAGGCTGTGGTGGTTGTGTTGGCGGTGAGATTCGATCCCTTTGGTCCTCCCGGGGGGTCCCTTTTATACTGCGGGTCAGTCGATCTCCAACTAGAACTCGGAGATATCGGACCCCACACGATATAGTAACGACTCAGTTCTATCCGAGTAGGACTCCTTCCATCCGTGGACTCCGTTTCTGTTACATGATGGATTTCCTTAACATGTACAGGAAACATCCGTATATGTGCAGGTATACCGTATCGGTATACAACATACATCCAAGGGTAGAGGGTATACCTTATCCGTAACCCTAACACTCGTCGCTAGTGATTGTCTGCACATCACTGCTTCCCAAGCCCTAGTCTTCACATGACCCTGTTGGCATGTGCCACCTTAGCATTAATTGACCCCTAGCCACCAACACTCCTTGACAACCAGCACCGATCCCTGAGTCACCCAACGATGCCATCCCCCATGGCATAAGGTCTAGCCACAGTTTGCCACTATGTTCCATCTTATGAAAATTTGTCTTGCCTGTATTTTTCATTTTACATATTTGGATGTGGATTTGTTTTTGTTGTGACACACGAAGCCTCGAAAGATATATTTAGCTCTAGTATAGGTCCTATCAATTAGGTTCATGTTATGCTAGTTAGTTTGATTTTGTAACTAACAAAATGAAAATAAATATATTAGACCATAAGGCCGATCGGCCAATATATAAAGCATTTTCCTAACACTGTGTTTTATTTTTTCAAGCAGACAAAATATTTTCACTTTTACCGTTTGAAAATACCAAGAGGCCTCATATCTTTGGCTCCGCCTATGAAAAATCGACTTTTACAGGCGAGGTTTGAAGAGGTTTGCCTATGAAAATACCTCATATTTTGGCAGGTGGAAACTCTTTAGACCGTGCCTATAAAAATCAATTTTTGCTGGCGGGGTCTAAAGTCGTCTGTCTAGAAAGTGGGGTTATAGTGTGGGGGCGTTACTAAAATCAGGACCCGATCGATCCAGCGGAGCTCGCAGCGACTAAGTCTTGGTAGTCTCCTCCTTCACCATGCCTCCACCACCGGTTCCCCTCCCCTTCCCTCTTCTCCACTACTGGCAGCAGGGCAGCATGGTGGTGATGGGGGCTCCTCCCCTCCAAATCTAGCTGGAGGTAGGTCTGCAGCACCTGACGATAGGGAGGAGAGGCGGTGGCGGATGCTCCACTGACGTCCCCTCCTGTTCTATCCCCTCCCATCCCTCCTTTTCCTCGCAACTGGCTGGAGGCGTGGTTGGCAGCGCCCCAGATTGGTGGTGTCTTGCATCGTTCGACGGTAGGGAGAAGGAGGGGCGATAGCGGAGGCTCCAGTCCCCTCCGATCGGTCTCCTAGATTTGGTTAGAGTGGAGGAGATCAACGTTTGTGGCGACAGGCGTCGTAAAAGGAGGGTGGCGGTGGCAGCGGCACGTGGTAGAATGAGGAGGGGATGACGTGGTGGCTCCACTCTCCCCCCTTCCCTTTCTCTCCCCTCCCTTTCCCAGATCCTCCGAGGGGAGGAGGCCAGTAGAGGCGACAAAGGGGAGGGTGAATGTGGCTCGGCTACGGCAACCATCCTTCTCGGCATGGCGGCGGTGACTGCTAGTTTCACCAACGACGGCCATTGGTGACAGCGACAAGGAATGTCGTGTTGCTATGGATTTGTTTTGTTATGCGAATTTGTGATGTTTCTGTGAATTGGATTTGATTTGATTATACTGGATGGGAAATGGGAGGTGGATTGGATTGGATGGGAACTGGGAAGATGTTGCAGGGCAAAACGACATCGGCTGCTCATTTTTTTAGCACTGAAAAATCTCTTCGCAGTTGGACGGCGTTAGGGAGCCGAGTGCGAAAATTCATTTTCGTAGGCGGTCGGTTGCCGGCCTATGAAAACACATGATTTTTATAGGCCTTGAGGTATCGATGGCATGGCTGGCTGCTTGTGAAAACTATTTTGGCCGCCCTGCAAAAATACTTTCTCTAGTACTGATATATGGTCAAGAGAAATTTTGTTCTTGAAGAATTTATATTCTCAAATCACTCCACTCCAAAACATCTCAATGTCCTTCTTTATATATGGAACTGAATCATGTGCCAGTATGTAAAGCATCGCATAGCGTCTTTACGTACCTCAGAGATATGATCCGTAAGGAGAGAGACACGGTCACAATACGTCTCAACCAGGGGTAGCTGTCCTTAGATGCCATTTTCGTTGTTGTGGCTGGAGCTCTCGCCAAAGACGTCGTCGTCTCTCTCCATGTACGAGAGGAAGGACACAGAGACAGTGAGCACTGATTGATGGATGTGTCATGTGTGGAGATACACCAACACCTAAACATCTTGATCAACAACGTACGGAATCCGTTCATATCACCTCGCTCGCTTAGCCGTACGCGTGCTTGATGGCAGTGGCTGAAGATGTAAAATTATTTCTATATAGTATTAATCTAAAAATTCACCGTGCTCGCTTGCAGGATATAAATATGGACTAGATCGTTCATCTGTTCACCCACCAGCAACTCCCTGACTCCATCGGAGTATATTAGCTCGTAGCTGAGTGCGGCTCAGTCTGCCAGCTCGATCGGAGGCGCTTTCATCGATCGGCGGCGGCAGCGATGGCACGCTCCGCCGTGTTGTTGCACGCCGTCCTCCTCGTCCTCGCCGTCGCGGTGTCGTCGTGGCGTGGCGTGGTCTCCGGCGACGCGGCGGTGGTGCTCGGCCGGAAGGCCGCCGGGATGAGTAGTGCTGCAGCGTCGTCGTCGGCCGACGACGACCTGCCGGCGCTGCAGATCTCGGCGAGGAAGGACGGCGCCGGGAACGATAAGTACGCCGTGATCTTCGACGCCGGCAGCACCGGGAGCCGGGTTCACGTCTTCAGGTTCGACAAGCAGATGGACCTCGTCAAGATCGGCGACGACATGGAGCTCTTCGCCAAGGTATGAATTGACAACACATGTGCTCCCTTCGTCTCTAAATAGTTGACGTTGTTGATTTTTTTTAATAACCGTTCGTCCTATTAAAAAAATTTAAGTAATTACTAATTATTTTTCTATCATTTGATTCATGGTTAAATATACTTTTATATATATATATATATATATATATATATATATATATATATATATATATTTATATATTTCACAAAGTTCTTGAATAAGATAAATGATCAAATATGTTTAAAAAAGGTCAACAGTATAATATTTAGGGACGGAGGGAGTATTACGTGGCGAGAGTAAACTGTTCATGTAAAAATCGGTAAAAAGAAAAAGATATATAAACTTAATTTGCATGCTCAATAACTAGACATTTAGGCAGAGCTCACATTTTTCATTGGAGAGATAGAATGGAGTTCATCACGAAGTTCAAGAGCAAGGAAAAAAAATCAATGTTCTGTATAGCGTAACATGAGTTGATTATTAAAATTGCATGCATGTCGCGTATAACTTCCTCGCCTATTGTCATGAGGAACTCATAATTAATTTAGTTTCAAACTTTTCACAGTTTTTACAGAGGTGGATCCGATGCAACAAATTTTGGTAGAAATTTCAATTCGATAAAGTTGAGTAGTTGGCAATTTTAAGTTGAAACATCATGGCTCAGTGAGTAGATGAGGAGTATCGATAACGTCAACATTCACGTGTTTCGGTCTGGAGACGATAGCTTGGACCACGCCTGCAACAAACGTGACACCCCATGTTTTATTGTGGAATTAGTGGATGGGTATATGTGAAAATTGTACAAATGATGAATGTTGAAATGTTATGAAAATAATGTGGGGAGAAGATGTGTCTTGCTTGTGTGAAATTTAAGATGTTAATTGCTAGTGGATGATGAGATGACATACTAGTGGGTATCAACTATACAAAGTATAGATACATACAATCAGGGTTTACGATTCTGACAAAATCTAGTCCGATTTCGTGAAATTTCGACGTTTCGATGAGGCTCGAAAGTATAAACCGTTTGAGATTTCGAGGAGTTTCATCCAAATTCAATTTGAATTGATAAAAAAAGAAAAAAATCAAAAAAATCTTATAAATACTATGATATTCATATAACCAATTGGGATATAAATTTTTGAAAAAAATGATGTATTGTGTGTATTTATTGAAACTTACATCAAGAAAGAAAAGAATAAATAATTAAAAAAAGAGACAAATTACCGATCGAAATTTCGATGATTTCGATCAGAATTTCGCTAAAACCGACCGGTTTTCAAGAACTTGTCGACAAACTTAGGGATTTGTATTCAAATTTTGGTTTATGAAATTTGTTCGGAATTTACCGGTTTTTTACCGGATTTCACGAAATTCTGACTTTCGCCGGTGCCCGAAACAGAAGAGCCTGTCGGAATCGTAAACCCAACATACAATGATATTTTTTATTGTTTTGGCGGTGGAAACTAGCTCTCCACACAGTTTCTCCAGCCGGTTGCAAAATACAATCTGTTATTTTCATTCTTTGCTAATTAAATATAAGTTGTTTCAGATATCCGCATAATTTTTAAAATTTCCTTACTAGTTGGTTTTTAACTACTAAATACTACCTTTGTTTATACAAACGGTTTTTCCCTAGTAAAACAATTTAGAGGAAGTTGCAAAAAAACATTTTTATTTATTTGTTTATCATTTCGCACAAGGCTGAAACGACTTATTTTATATATATATATATATATATATATATATATATATATATATATATATATATATATATATATATATATGTTAAATGGAGGAAGTAGCTTTTTTCTAAAAAAAATGGATCAATATGATTTTTTTAGCAACTTTCGTATAGAAACTTTTTGCAAAAAAAAAGCACCGTTTAGTAGTTTGAAAAGCGTACGCGTGAAAAACGATGGTGGGGAGTTGGGAACTCCTAACAAAGAACGCAGCCTTAATACTATAACCATCCATAACTTTTAAAGTACTTAGTTTCAAATCGTATGTCCATACACTGGTGGAGAAGGGGTTTTTACTCCCGGTTCGTAACCCCCATGTAGTCCCGGTTTTCCAACCGGGACTACGAATACGGGACTAAAGATCGCTATCTTTAGTCCCGGGTGAAAAAACCGGGAGTAAAAATCCATTTTTAGTCCCGGTTGGTGTTACCAACTGAGACTAAAGATACAACCGGGACTAAAAAGACTAGATCCGGTTGCTCTTTATTATTTTCTTTTCTTCATTGTTTTTAATATATATTGATTTCACCCCATCCCGTCCCCAAAATCCCAAATCAATCATTCTCAAATTGCCTCCAAATCCACAATCGATCATCTCAAATACTCAAATACATCACAAAATCTCAAAAAAAAAATTACATCAAGCACAACAAAATACATCCACAATACATCCACATCCACAATCCACAAATCAATCACAATCCACAAATTAATCACAAAATCATCCCTAAATCAACCAACAAAATGCTCCACCAAAATATACAAATCATTCAAAAAAATTCACAGTCGCCGCCGCCCGGCCGTGGGCCGCCGGCCGCCTTGCGCCCGACCACCGCGCGGGTCACCGCCGCCCGGCCGCCACCCACCGCCTTGCGCCCGGCCACCACCGCCTGCCGCCTTGTGGCCAGCCCTCCGCGCTGGCCTCCGCCGCCGCCACTGGGGACGGCCCTCTGTGCGCGACGGCCGCCTCCCCTCCCGGATCCGACGGAGGGGAGGCCGCCGCCGCCACCTGGCCGCCTGCCCTCCCGGATCTGACGGAGGGGAGGCCGCCGCCGCCGCCCGGCCGCCTCCCGCCGCCGGAGAGGAGCCGGAGGGGAGGGGAGGGGGGAGAGAATGAGGGGGAGGAGAGGGTTGAGAGGAGAGGAGGAGGAGAAGGAGAAGTGAGAAAGAGGAGGAGAAGTGGGAAGGAGAAGGGATAAGATAGGGCGGGGAGGACGAGGTGCTGCTGGCCGGTGGCGCATGGGGATCTTTACTCCCGGTTGGTGTTACCAACCGGGACTAAAAATACATCTTTAGTCCCAGTTGGTAACTCCAACCGGGAGTAAAGCTTATGTTGATCTTTTTTCCCGGTTGGTAACACCAACCGGGACTACAAATAGATCTTTAGTATCGGTTGGTAACACCAACCGGTACTAAAGATGAAAAAGTACCCTTGATCTTTTAAACCGGGATTAAAGATGTTTTTAGTCCCGGTTTTTAATACAACCGGGACTATTGTGAAATCTGGTCGACCGACCAAAGATGGTTTCTCCACCAGTGATATTTTTCTTGAAAAATAATTTTATAATCTCTTAAACTTATTAGATTTCATAAATAAATTTTTACTATAAAATTCTAGTCAAATTCTCACTTGGAAGACCACAAAAAATAGTTGAATTTCAAATGCTCTTGCCAGCAAGAAAACGCGACGTTGTATTCCATATACTTGGAGTATGCTTCAAGATTATCGCTTCTCCTTTTTAAAGTGTGAAGCGTGCGTATAGCATGCTTCAAGATTTCTGCAGCATCTTTTTGAAGTGTAAAGCAATAAAGCATACGTGCATGGAACAGTTATGAGGATAGTTTGTGGATTCTATGAAAAAAGTTGTAACTTCATATAGGCTCACATTCGAAAAAAAAATATAGGTGAAGCCCGGGTTGAGCTCATATGCTGGCAAACCACAGGAAGCTGCAAACTCCATTGCTCCTCTGCTAGAGAAGGCTAAAGGTGTTGTTCCCAAGCAGCTTCAGAAAAGAACTCCCCTCAAACTTGGGGTACTTACTGATCTTACTGAAACTGGAATTAATTATTCTTGAAATGATCTTAAGAACTATTTTATGTTTGGTGTAATCAAATTGGTGTTCAGGCCACTGCTGGTCTAAGACTGATTGGAGATGAGAAGTCAGAGCAAATTCTTGAAGCGGTAAATAATATTCTCACCGTAATCTGGTTTCATTAGATGATGTACTCTACTTTTGCAAAGATCTTAACCGTTTGTAGACTATATATTGATCACAAAAATGACATGTTTTCAATAATATTACTTACAGGTTCGAGATCTTGTCCACAGCAAGAGCAATTTCCAGTACAAACCAGAATGGATCAGTGTCCTTGGGGGTTCTCAAGAAGGATCCAACCTCTGGGTATGAAATGTTTGACATACTGTCATTCAGAGCAGAAATTTTCTGACAATTTACATCTTTATATAAATATATCATTTCGGAAAATAAAAATTCCATATGGTACATGGTGCAGGTTGCTCTGAACTATCTTTTGGGGAAGTTAGGAGGGGATTACTCAAAAACCGTAGGAGTGATCGATCTCGGAGGTGGTTCAGTTCAAATGGCCTATGCCATTTCTTCAGATGCTGCAGAAAACTCTCCTCCAGTCCCTGTCGGCAAAGATCCTTATGTTACAAAGGAGTATCTCAAGGGAAAAGATTATAACCTTTATGTTCACAGGTAGAATCGACAACAACTTCTTACCAAATTATATCTTACTTCTTCAGCTCCATGCAATTTTTGTTAACTTAATTTTGGTCTGTATTGACAACAAAAGGCTGTGGACCTGTGGTTAATTAAAAGAAAGCTTAAAACAGACTAACTCGGGCTTGATTAATTTCTGAACATCATTCAGAGTTAGTTGTGTAACACAAGGAAATAAGTAGTAATTATTTACTTTAGGCAATGGTGATGATCAGACATAATCTTGAATGAACAGTTACTTGCATTATGGGCTCCAAGCTTCTCGCGTCGAGATTCTTAAGACGAAGAATGGGCAATTCAGCTCCTGCATGCTTCGCGAATTCAATGGTATGTCCCAGAAAAAATACTTTAATTTTTAGATTTAAATGTGTCACATTAATACCGAATACGTCTATATGTATAGGCTGGTGGAATGATTTTCATGGATTTTCGACATAAATAATTGAGGAATTTTAGAACCCCGCATGAAACTATTTAGCCAGAAAATTTCAAAACAAAATCATTTTTTTTCTAATTTAGTCAACGTTTATTCAAATAGGGGCAAATTAAATTTCCTCTTTTTTGCACGGTCGCCCGTTAAGAAATGTTCAAAACGAAACTGCAAACGAAAATAATTTGACGATTTATTCTTGGTCGATGACCTCGACGAAGGTACATACAAGTACAACGGCGAGGAGTACGACGCGGCGGCGTCGCCGGAAGGGGCGGACCACGGCAAGTGCGGCGAGGAGGCGGCGGCGGCGCTGGGCCTGGACGCGCCGTGCGAGTCCCGGAACTGCAGCTTCAACGGCGTGTGGAACGGCGGCGGCGGCGCCGGCATGGCCGACCTCTACGTGGCGTCCTACTTCTACGACAGGGCGGTGCACGGCGGGTTCGTCGTCGACGACGCGCCGAGCGCCGTGACCACCCCGGCGGCGTTCGCGGAGGCGGCGTCGAAGGCCTGCTCGCTGAGCTCCGGCGAGGCCGCGGCCGCGTACCCGGAGGCGTTCGACGTGCAGTTCATATGCATGGACCTGACGTACCAGTACACATTGCTTACAAAGGGCTTCGGTAAGTAATTGCAAAAATATTTCGTCCATTCCAAAATATAATACATCCATCCTATAATAAAATAAGTGCAGTCGTGGATATGTGTGTACAACTTTGATCATCTGTCTTATTTAAAAAAATTATAATTTTTTTTAAAAAAAATTAGTCACACATAAATTACTATTAATGTTTTATCATTTAATAGCAATAAAAATACTAATCATAAAAATGTTTCAAATAAGACGAACGGTTAAACGTTAAACACAAACAATGTAAAACTGCACTTAGACCCTGTTTAGTTCTCACGCAAAAACTTTTCATCCTGTCACAACGAATGTTTGGACACATGCATGCAGTATTAAATATAGAAAAAAAATTAATTACGCAGACTGCGTGTAAATTGCGAGACGAATCTTTTAAGACTAATTGCGCCATGATTTGACAATGTGGTGCTACAGTAAATATTTGCTAATGACGGATTAATTAGGCTAAATAAATTCGTCTCGCAGTTTACAGGCGGAATTCGTAATTTGTTTTGTTATTAGACTACGTTTAATACTTTAAATGTGTGTCTGTATATTCGATGTGGCAAGCCAACACTTTTTACCCCTCGAACTAAATAAGGCTATTTTGGGACGAAGGTAGTAGAATATAAGTGTTTTTTGCAAATATTAATGTTAGGGAAAAAAGATTTCCTTTCAATCATCTTAAGTGTTTAAATTCTCCTTAAGGACCGTGATTAGGTGAAAATGTATGTTCTGTGCGTTGGAATCAGTGGAACAATACTTATATTGTAAAAAAACTTATTTCTATCTAAGCAGTTGGATATTATATAATTTTACAGTTTTTATTGAGAGATTATAGGATGGTAGTATAAATAGAAATGATTTATTGGATAGAAAAATTATAAACAGTTGATTCTACTTACGATTGTAAAGCATCTCTTTAAATCTTTTTAACTCAGATTAAATTAATATTTTAATTTGCGGACAGTGTGGTATCTTTTCGGGAACCATAAAAATAGTTGTATTTAGAGCTAATCTAATTTTATTACACAAACGAATGTATGCACTATGCACCCACACCATATATTAATCTGAGTTAAAAACAATTAAAGAGATGTTTTACAATCGTAAGTAGAATCAACTGTTTATAATTTTCTCATCCAATAAATCATCTGTGTAGTAGGAGTGACATATTAGGACTCGATAAACAAACAATATAAACTATATATATTATTGTATAGTGCCTCCTAATGCCTCATTATTGAACATGTAAAACATCATATAAATAATTATTTATTAGAACTTGCGGCAAATCTTTAAGTAACTTGTTTCCATTTCAATATTAGTTCACTTTGAAAAATTAATATACTCTTTACAAAATTGGCGTACTAAAGAACAACCGAATTAAATTCGTCCACACTGAAGTTACTAGCAAGTAGCAGCAACAACACCTGACATAGAAATTGGAATTATGGTTTCGCAGGTTTGAAGCCAACTAGGGAGATGACGCTTGTGAAACAGGTCAAGTATGGGGATTGCTACGTGGAGTCGGCGTGGCCGCTGGGTACTGCCATAGAAGCCTTGTCCTCCCAGAAGAGTCATCAGTCTGCATGATCCATTTAGCTATATCACGCAAGGATGCCTACATATATGTATGTGTTCTGATTCACGTACGTTTGAGCGGTGGAGAAGATGTTTGGCAGATTTGAGTAGCAAATTCATAACACTGCGCAATTAATAACTTAATAAAATGGTATTGTTTGACGGCAAATTTATACTGAGCCTTGCATGGTAGTTACATACACTGAAAAATCTTAATCCTAATGGGCCTCCAATCGAAGGCCTTAGGCAATAGCCCGGGTGGCCAGAGGCCACGTTATGTTTCACCCATGGTTACGGGGTTTAAAATAAACTTCTTACACTAATGCTCACCGGTTGTCAAGTCTCCTGACTGATATGTTTATTTATTTTCAGTCGTTAAATTTACGGGCATTTCACTTTATTGCCAATTTCAATTTGGTAAATTTTGAGGTTACCGAATTTTGGTAGGGTTTTTATGATTAGAAAGTTTGGGAACCATCAAATTTTGCTAAGATGATATTGGTAAGGTACTAAGGTAGTGTTTAGTTTTTTACTCTATCAAAATTTACTTGGGTTGAAAGTGATGGTAAAGTGAACATGCCCAACATTCTCATATAAGGATTTTCTTTTAACTACTTAGATATCACTTATGCTTATGGTGTTGTGCATAAAGCCATGCCATTCCAAATCTCTGTGGTATATATGTTACAAATCACCACGGTGCATAGCATCTCACACCATCACACGAAATCCTTTTTATCGACGGTCATTTCTATTTCAGTCTTAGCCTATCCCATTCCCATTTAGCAGGTCGAGGGTAATGATATTTCTCTCATGTGCATTCTTTTAAATGGGCTTATATGTTTTTGGGAAAAAAAAACCCATGCACATGGCCCGAAAGGAACTGTAGCCCATTCATATACATGGGCCATATGCAATTCGTTGTCATTTACAAGCATGAAGTTATAGGTACAAAATTTATGTGTATAAAATGTATAAAACTCATATGCACATATTATATATATATATATATATATATATATATATATATATATAATATACATATATGAAGTTTGTATGTATAAATGTTTTGGGCCAATATATTTCTCACTGGGCCTCAAAAACAAGTGGGCTCACATTCAAAGAAGCTCCTACAGACTTATAAATAAGCACACATGGATCAATTTAAAACCGGACATGGAGAGAAACACGGACTGCAATGCCTGACGGGCACCCGTGCGCTCCAACAGTTCCGCATGAGCAATCATGCATTAGACCTACCCAAATTAATTTAATCAATTACCAATTCACATGGGACATATAGAAGTGCGAGTTATACCACTGTTAGAAACAGGATCAGATTTTTTTTATATAATTGGCGTGGTCATGGCCATGGTTCCGGTTCGCATTAAACGATCAAGTATACAAACATCACTGCATTTGCCCGCAGGCGAGGAAGTCCATTGAGCCTGAATGCTATGCCTAGTTGCAAAAGTATCATCTGCAGAAGGTTTAGAAATCAAGGTATGTCATGCACTTCTTGTGGATTTTCAATTTGATAGACAATAATAAGTGATTGATTGTTTCTCTCCTTTGAATTTTGATCTTGTGGCTTAGTGATTTATTAGCGGTTTGTTTTCTCATATATTTATCAATTTTTAAAAATATCTATCAATCAATCATGCTTTATGAATTGATTAATATTTGCAAATTGACATGCTTACTATTATCTTTTGATGTATGATGAATTATGTATGGCGTAAAGATTATTGCTTTATTTCAAAAAAATTTTGTTTGCCTTTTTGGGCCCAAGTATTACTCTCTCCCTCCCTCAGCCCGCAGCCTCTCTCTCCCTCCTCCTCCCTCTTCAGGCCATCGGTCCAGCCCTTTTGCTCCTCCCTCACCAAGAAGTCCATTTTGTCTCCCTCCTCTCAATTCAAATAGTTTTTCGGGTAGTAAATGATTTCAAATGAAAAAAAAATTGTCAACACAAAGTCGTACAACTTATCAATATCTACAACTTTTGTTTTTGTCATTTTGCTATATGGTTTTGTTTCAATAATTTGAATTTGAATTTCAAATTACAACAACTTCAAAAAACATTTTCAAATACTAAATGATTTCAACTGAAAAAGTCATCAACAACAAAGTTGTATAACACATCAATATCTATAACTTCTATTTTGGTCGTTTCTTCATCCGACAAAGTGATAGTAACATTGCTCACAAAATTTACATCTCTCTCTTATAGTTTATATCTGTTATAGTTTTATAAATTTTGTGAGAATGTTATTTGTCGGATGAAGAAACGACCAAAATAGAAGTTATAGATATTGATGAGTTATACAGCTTTGTTGTTGATGACATTTCAGTTGAAATCATTTAGTATTTGAAAATGTTGTTTGAAGTCGTCATAATTTGAAATTCAAATTCAAATTATTGAAACAAAGTCATATAGCAAAACGACCAAAACAAAAGTTGTATATCTTGATGAGTTATACAATTTCGTTGTTGATGACTTTTTCAGTTGAAATCATTTAGTATTTGAAAATGTTGTTTGAAGTTGTCATAATTTGACATTCAAATAATTTTATACAACTTTGTTGTTGATGACTTTTTCAGCTGAAGTCGTTCACTAATAAAAAATTCTATTTGAAGTTCTCAAACTTTGAATTTCAAATTATTCAAATAGAGTCAGATGGAGACACGACCAAAATAAAAATTTTGCATCTCGATGAGTTCTACAACTTTGTATTGGTGACTTTTCTATTTGAAATCATTTATTAACCCCAATTTTCGTTCGAAATTATCAGATTTTGAAAATTCAAATTTTTAATTTTTCAAATGAACTTATTCGTAAAAAATACCAATACGATAGTTGTAGATCTCGATGAGTTCTACAATTTTGTTGTTTCTGATTTTTGCATTTGAAACAACGGTAGTTATTTTTTACGTCATTGACTTATTTTACCAACGGCTGACCATTCGTCTAATGTAAAATTTTTTATGCAAATATAAAATTATTTATATCATGCTTAAAAAACATTTGATGAGGAATCAAGTTAGATTCAGTTTGAATGATTGTATAACAAACCGTTGACCTATGCAGACCGATCGACATCGAGTATAATTGTCCGAAGGGAGTAATTGCATATAACTTTGGCATAATATTACATATGAATATAATTTGTTTTTCGTCTTTACCACATATATATGTTTTCAATTGAATTTTTTGGTAACATTTTCACCACACGTGTTTATTTTATTTAAAAAATATTTATGTAGGAATATAATATTCTTTTGCTCTTGTAATTTGTTTTGGATACACCATTTCAGAAAATTGGTAGCATTCTCACTTATTTTCACCAAATGTCTTCATTTTATTAAAATATATTTATGTTGGAATATACTGTTTATTTGCTCTTGAAATTATTTTTGCATATAGTTTGTATTTTTTTTCCAAAAAAGAATGATACTGCAGCTGTAGACGCCAATTTTTTTGTGGGGTGGGAGCCAAAATTTTTCAAAAGCAAAATCTTCGCGGTCGGGCCACTTTGCGGTCAAGCCATTTTAAATTTGAATTGACTGTTTTGTCCAAATAATTCAATAACTATTGTCAACGCACTAGGGTCATTTCGGTAAAGCCGCGTTGTGATTGCTTCATACCCTGGTTCCTCAAACCCTAGCCGATTCCAATTCCCAAATCCACTGAAACCCAGCTGTCATCGTCTGCTTCCTCGCCGCCACCATCCACTCTACCGCCGAGCTCCCTGCCCACCACTACCGACGGCGACTACCTCCACCGCCACGGTGTCTTGCCTCTTCCGTGAGTCCTGCCGCGACTCCTCCTCCTCCATCGGCTCATCTGCCATCGTCGCGTCATCCACCACCGGCAGTGGCGGCCTCTCCCCCCGTTCCCCGACCTCGGCATCCCCTCAATCCCCCGATCCACGCGGCCACAGCCCCCCTCCGCATCGCCTTGCATCGGGCTGATCCTCCGCCGGCAGATCCCAACGCCGACATATCAAGGACTACGCCTCGCTATTATTAAGGTGGTGGAGGTGGTTGCCTCCGGAGTCCCTGTGACGGCGGCAACGCAGCTCGGCCACGTTGATTGCTTGGATGCGGCTCAGCAAATGCAAGGCGAGTAGCGATTGCTGCGCTTAGATTTTCTTTCTTTGTTGCTAATACTGGGTCCTTATTTCTTTCTTTGCTTACTAACTAATTCTAGATCCCTATATCTTCGGACTCTTTTTTTTATGTAGTAGTCGACTGGAAGGCTTTGGGCTGCCTTCCTCTTCATGTGCATGGTTTTGAAGAGATTTATTTTTATTTTCCTGTTTTCAAGAGATATATGGCCCAAATAATTTGAACTTTTTTTTCTCATGGATGAGTGTAATGGCATGTCAGTAAGCATGCTGATCCTATGCCATTCAATCTGGGAAATCAACCTACTGAACATAGTGTATGCAGTTATCTTCCCAATATTTCCAATAGAAATATGGCATATAGATCATTGTTAAACGATATTATGAGGACATGACTAGCTCGGATATAACCATAACTACCTTATGTATTAATCAACCAAATGTGCATATGTTTTATACTAGATTTACTTGTTATATATTTAAACAAACGTTGCTACACAATAAGTTTTGTGTGTTTTCATTTGCAGAGTTACTTGCTTGGGTAAAAGAAAAGAGACCGAGCATAAGGAATGCATGGATGATTGAAGAAGTTGATTAGGGACCAAACCAAGACCTTCTCCAAGTATTCTTTCATCTCACCACGTCACTTTTGGTCTATAGAAAACAAGAGATAAAATTCTACACGTTTTGGATTCCGATTCGGGCCTCCCGACAGCATCAACTTCAAACGGACCTAGCCGCTGATCTAGAAGGAATTTCGGGGCTCATGAGTACTTGTTGGAAAGCTTATGGAGTTTACTTTCAAATGGTTCTGGTCCCACATCAATATTCCTATCGAGCTGCCAGGAATCTGCAAAACAAGCCACGTATCTCATGTGTCATTATGTCAAGGGCTTAGCCCATGGGGGTGTGCGTCCTAGGGCAACCCTAGGACGTCCCTAATCATATTTATTTAGTAGCCGTTATCGTTTAGAGTTGGGTTTTTCTTAGATTATTATGTTAAGAACAGTTTCGCCGCTAGATCGGTTTGTGGAATCGCAAATTCGGGTGTTTAATCATTCAGATGCAATTGTGTTGCAATCTATCTTGTTTTTCTCGTGTTCTTCGATTTGCATGCAGGGATTAGACTTCTCGGCGAGGTCAACCAGGTTTTAGCACGGTTGATAATCAGAGGAGACGTGGTGCTGCGATTGCGGGGCTTAGTAGCGTGTTCGTTCGGAAGCCGGATCAAGTTGTATCGCGACTCCGCCCAAATTAATTGTTTATCAATATCTATCGGAAGATCGGGAACCCTAGTTCTCATCAGTTGGTATCAAAGTGCGGTTGCCCGTTAGGTAATTTATCTTCCCGTAACCAGAAAATTGCTACACAAAAATATTTATTCTTTACCTAGACAATTTGAGCTGTTGCATTGTTCTATTAGATTTTGCTTTGTTGAATTCTAGATTGCATCGTCGTGTTGAGTGTTGGTTTAGTTTTAGATTTAATTTTTAGTTTTTAGTATTGCATTTGTTTATCACTTAGGTCTAGGGTTCATCACTCAAGTCTGTGAGTTGTACGTCAGTTTTGGGTCCAGTTGTGGATCTCATCGGTTGTTGTCGGGACCTTGAAAAATAGAATCGTCTTGAAAAATAGAATCGTCTTGTTATCGGGTTTCCGTTTTTATCGTTGCAAGAGTTTTTGTTGGTTGGTTGCGGAGTTGCATTAGGGTTTTAGTGTCGGTTTTGTTTTGCCGTGAAGGAGAAAAAAAATAAAATCATAACAGATCTGCCGTGAAGGAGAAAAAAAAACATCATAACATATCTGTTTTGGTTTCCATCTAAGGCCGACACCTGAGTCTTCCTCTCGATCCACCTCACATTGGTCATGTCCCACCGTGTTGTCAGTAGGAAATCACGTAATATCTCTTAGAAAGCCTGCAGAGACACCTTAGTGAAAAAAAAAGAAAATTCCTTTAGCGGATTTGAGATATTTTTATAAAAACGGAGCCTACATGATATGAGCATTCCATTTTTAAGGTGATCCAATTTTAATTTTGCACTTTGTGTTTGAGTCCCTGTAATATTTATATTTACATTTGAGTCCCCATTCGAAGTCAGTGGTTAGTTTTGGTTGAAAAAAGTAAAAAAAGAATAAAGAAAAAAAGAAAAGGCAGAAAGGTGCAAAGAAAAAAAGAAAGAAAAAGTCGCACCTAAAAAAAGAAAAAAAATGCAGAAAGGTGCTTAAAAAAGCCGCACCAAGAAAAAAAATTCATTTATCCTTTGAGTATATTTTCAGAGTGCAGAGTTGTGCATTGATTCATATCTAGTCCTTAGTATTGTCGGGTGCTTGCTTGAGCTAGAGTTAAGTATAGGCTAGTCCAGCACATTGACTAGTACTTTGAACTATTATTCAACTTTGCATTTTCTGATTAGCACAATTGTGTTCCTTTGCTACTATATATAGTGCCTCCCAAGCTCCACGTATATACTTCTGGTCAGCACCATTTTGATTCTTACAATCGACACATCACGTCCTTCAAGGTGTCACGAGCCAGCCACCGGTTGTATCATCCTTAGCATTATTGGTAAGACAATTGTAAAAGCTTGGTAAGGTGCTCCACTTGCCTGAGTTGTTGAGAGGCACCACTACATCGCGTAGCAGATTATTGGGGATAACCTTCACTGTTTGTTGTTGTTTTTATGTTTGCAATGACAGGTATGAATGGCGCTCAATATCAGCAATACCAACAAGGTAACAATAGTCGCGTGCCCGATGATCCTTACGCTAAGGTTAAGTTTCAAATACTATCTTTTTCGGGTTATTATGATGCTGAGAAATACCTTGATTGTGAGATGACAATAGAGTAGAAGTTTAGTGCCCACCTTGTGCCTAAGCAACATAGAGTTCGACAAACCAGTAGTGAGTTTAAAGATTGTACTATCATTTGGTGGACTGGGTTAGCTGCACAGGGTGCTTTACCTACTACTTGGGAAGAACTTAAGATAGTTATGCACGATAAATTTGTTCCTTCATCTTTTCACAGAGATTTATGCAAGAAACAGATGCGTTTAGAACAAGGGGATAAATCTGTATAGGATTACTATCGTGAGCTACAAAAGGGATTAATGCGCTGTAACATAGTGGAGGGGACCAAGGATTCTATTTGTCGTTTTTACTCAGGATTGAGGCGCGGAATTCAGGACATAGTTGATTATAAGGAATTTAACACTGTCAACCAGTTGTTTCAGTTAGCTATGCTTGCAGAGAAGGAATTGCAGGGGCGTGATAAACAATTCAAGAACAAGGCGAGCACGTACACGCCACGGGCGAAGCCATCTTCAGGGATTCCCAAGCCCATCTTTTTTTAGGTGTCCCCACCAGCGAGCAAGCGACCAGTTGCGTCCGGAGTTTCTGTAGTGCCAAAACCACCTCCTCCACGAGCAGCAGATTCAGGTAAAAGTTCTTCACAGGTACCCGCCAAGAGCGCCTCATCCGTCGCTTCGACAGGACGCATTCAGTGCCATTGTTGCCAAGGGTTTGGCCAAGTGCATAAAGATTGCCCTAGTCAACGGGCATATGTTGCTACGGAAGATGGCTACGTCAGCACCTCTGACGTTAAAGATGAGGAGGAAGAGAAGAAACACGAAGAGAAAAGATCTATCCATAGCTCCATGCATGCTTGAAGAATGTTCAATTGGCCAAGCACCTATAATTTCTGAAGATGAGAAAAAAGGTAATGATAATGGTGCTACAACTACTCAAGGTATGCATATTTATGATGTACTAACTATGTCCACTATAGTTATGCTACATTAGAGCAACCTATAGTGGAAACAAATGTTGAAATACCTTTGTCAAAAAATGTTTCTTTGATAAAGAAGAGTTGTGCGATGCTTTCACTTATATCCATGTCACAACTAGTAAATGAACATGTTAACTAGCCACTTAGTCTCGCGTTGCGCGACTTTGGATTCCCGTTTATAGCCCTATATAAAATTTACTAAAATTTAATTATCTTCTTTTATAGAAACAATAGGACTCAATAAACAGTTAGTTAGAACCATATATCCAAACGATCGTATGTTTCTAACTAAAGGTTCAAATAATCATAGGACCCCTAGCAGCACTAAGCCATGCATTTGCACAAACATGAGTGTCCACCGATAAGCATGTTACTTTTGCGTAACGTGTGTGGAGAGAATAATTTGGATTGGAAAGACACTGAAATAACAACAATATTTGTTCGATGGAGCGGAAAAGGAGTTAACAATGGAAAGTAAGTGAAATATGCTCTCTCCCTTTGAGTATTGATCCATGATAATGCCAAATATAAAGAAAAATTTGATGACCTTCTCAGCTCTATTTCAAGTTCAGTTATTGAAAGGTGGCCTGAAGAAGCTACAACCTGGATTACTTCTCAGTTCCTGTTCAATTCAATGCATCACAAAGACTGAGGGAGAAAACGTTTTCTGCAGAACAAAACATGGATGGAAATTTAGGGGAATGAGCAGAGTAGAGCAGGAGAATATGGCTCAATTTGATATAGCATCCAAAGCTATATGAAATTTCCTCAAAAAAAAATGGTGCAGAGAACATATATGAAGTGGATAGTGAATAAAAATGCACATTGAACCAATACATTCTGATTTGAACTGGTCAAGTATAAGTTGTTTTAATCACATATCAGATTCTAAGAATTCATTTTTTTTAGTTTGCTAGCAATAGCCAGCCATGATCAGAACTCTGAAGTGAATTATGGAAATATATGAGCAGCAGTACCTGTTAGAATATATACGGGCCAAGAATTTCAATGCGATTTAGCCAAGAGTGCACAAAATCTGTTGGCGGGAAATTAGGAAAGCGTTTGCCAGACTGCTCAAGTTAATATTAGCATCTCTAGCTACAGAAAATTCTCTCACTGCTCTGAATCCATCTTTTGACGGGATGACCAAAGAAAGGTCATCCAATGGTATTAAGAGAATCATAATATCTTTCTTTAAGCCCCATATGCATAGTTCACCTGTTACATAATCATCAAAAATGAATTGCTCACATAGAAAAAATGCAAAAAAAAAAAATGAGGAACTAACATTTGTGCTAATTGAACGGCAAGTTATGAAACGGTAGTTCTTTACTTGTATTGCAGGAAACATTATCACCAGAGCTTTCAAGAATGAAAATGGTGTGCAGAAAAATTAACTCAACAACATTAGCAGCTATACCAGCCGACATAGCGTCAAATTGGCTAAGAAACACCCTCTCTTCTGGCTAATGGCAGCTTATTTTAACCAGCAGATAAAATTCAAAGATGGGCATACTATCATAAACTTTGAGTAAATCGTCGACTAGTCCTAGATTTTTCATTACTTAAATTTGGTCAAAAGCAAGTAATAGTAGTAAAATACAACACTACAGCAGCATTTGGTCACCTTTCAGTACTATGCTATTTGTTGTAGCCGTGAAATACTTTTGCCAGACCACTGAATCCTTCACTTCAAACTCCATTTTGTTCAGTGTCTTCATCATCCTTTTATAAGAAGCAGTAAACCCTGTGATATACTATAGCTAGTGAAAACATGCAGAAGCAATTAACATGCCACAACTTGAATTCAACATGATTAATTATTTCTTAATAGAATCTAGATCACATTATGAACTACACCTTTCTTTGTTCAGAAGAATCCTATCTAAAGATATGACTATTGAGAGGAAGAAAATTCTATATAATGCAACTGGCTCTACACATTCAGTATATCTGTATAACCTCAATTATTATGGTACTACGTACAACAAACTTACAAATGTTGGATGAAAAATTGTAAGTTCGATCTATTGAAACTGCTTTACAATCCTTTTTTTTGTTAACACTGAGCATTCTCTTTTTTATCGCTTAAGAGTAAAATTAGGTAATTCTGGAATGTTCTAAACCGGTTGGAAATCATAGCAGCCTGGATAAAATGGACACGATTATGCAGTCTGAAAGTTTGTACCAAATAATCAATCTAAGATAATTAGAGGAAGAGTAAAACTAAGTTGCTTAATAAGAGAGCAGTAGCAGGGGATGGTGATAAGTGCCTCTGTAGATTAGAGATGACGAAACGATGGAAGCAGTTCCTCTATTGGCCAGTGGAATCCCAGATTTAACACTGGAAATCACAAAGAGATTCTATATCCAAACTCTCATAAGAGATCCATGCATAATTTTTACTTCCAGCACTCCAAGAGTCAGGACTAAAACTTAAAATGATATATGTGATTAAAAGGTCACCAAACATCATTTGTCAAGGAGTTGATCAACACAACTATAATTAGAAAAGGTTATTCTCACACCCCATCTAATTATTGGATTAATCATCCCACGCCGATAACTCATGGAATATTCCGCCGGCAAGACCCCAACTCACGGGGCCTTCCGCTCCTTCATCCGCCTCATCGACGCCCCACTCTTACCTCTCCTCAGCGGTGGAGAATCAGATTGGAAGTAGATGCGTCGGCTTTGGAGATGGGGAGGGGGGGAGATGCTCGACTACAGCGGGAGGGGAGGGGAGGAAGCGGTGGTGGGATTGGGGAGGTGGAGACGAGAGACGGTGGACGGAGAAGGAGGCGACGTCTCGATCTCTCAGGAGTAGCGGCGGTGCAGCGACGGGGTGAGAGGTTTTTCTCTGTGTGACATTAAAAAAGATGGTGGCTGCCTCTGTGCCACTAAAAAGTTTGAGCCTCCCTCTATGCCACCGTCGAACTTTATTGCGTCCTCCATACCATTCCGTCATTGTTCTGTTTGGGTTTAACCGTTTTGCAGCTCTGACATGTGGGCCCATGCATGAAAAATATCGATATTACCCTTTCAGTCACCGGCGCCTCTCAGCCACTCACCACGGCGACATGTCATCCACCGCGCCACAGCCGCTGCGGCCACGCTAGGGGATAGCCGTGCCGTCACACCGCGCGGCGATGTAGCCGCGCCTCGCCGTCTCGGCGTCCTCCACCACAACCAAGACGAGCAGGCATCGCACTTTTGCCCACCAAAACACAGCCACGGAACCCGGGTGACAGCGACGACGCTCGCTCAAACGGCGCGCCGCCGGCTGGTCACGGCTGCCAGCAGCCAGACGGCGAGCTGCAAGCCCATGCAGAGCGGAGCACGCCGCGCGCTGTGGCAGCTACTCCTACGGCCATGCACGAACCGAGCATAGCTCAGCCAAGGCAAGACAAAAGTAGAGCAAAGTGAGCAACCGAAGCTTACAACCCAGCGGCGTTGGTGGCCAGCCTCGGGGGCGCTCGGCGGCGCGGCGCGGTGACCAGGAGGGGCGGGGTGCGCAGCGAGGCCGGCGACTGGCGCTGCGCGGCGGCCGACGGTGCCTCCTGCGCGGCGGCGGAACGGCTCGACGGCGACGCGGAGCTCCAGGAGAACGGCGACAGCTCAAACGTCTCCAAGATCTAGCATGCATGTGTGTCCACGAGGTTAGTGAGGCCACAGGGATGGTGTGTGCGCGAGGAATTGGACAATGGCTCACCGGAGGAGGCGGAATCGACGTTTGACGCCGGTGGCCGGAGTTGGAGAAGATGACGCCGTTCTTCGTCCATGGTGCTTCAATCTTGGGGGTTCTTGAGGGGTTCTGGTCATGGTGATGAGATGACGATGGTGGCGCGGCGGCTCGACTTGGCGTGGACCAGATCGACGGGGAGGAAGATGATGTCGTGGCGGCATCGCTCCGGTGCGCGTTCTAGAGCGCCGTGGGTAGGCGCGGCATGGCATGGCATGGCGCGGCGTTCCTTCGCAGGCGGCGGCGGCTCGGCGGTCAGATGGTGCGTGGTGCGGTGCGGCGGCGGCGGCTCGGCGTGGAAGAGGAATGGCGGCAGTGGCTTGGTGGCACAGAAGGAAACAAACTTTGTTCAAATGGCCTCTCAAGCCTAAGGGCAACCAAGTCATTTGGCTGTGCCGTTACCCACCGTGAGGACCAAAAACGGACAGAATGATGTGGAGGGCGCGATAAAGTTCGACGATGGCATAGAGAAAGGCTCAAACTTTTTAGTGGCACAGAGGCAGCCACCATCTTTTTTAATGGCATACAGGAGAAAACCTCACAGGGTGAGAAGGAAGCGTCATGGCAGATTCACCGGGCAACGTGCTAGTCTGGTAGGGGTGAAAATAAAAAATAGTAATAGTAGGGACGTGGAAGGGTATGTTTGTGAAAGAACTTTTACGAAGGATCTAGAAGATGTTTTGCCAATCAATGAATCCAACGGCTCCCATCATCTTCAACTGAAATCGGATGGCCAATTTTTCTTCGATGACGTGGCGCACCCCGGTGGTGAAAAACTTTAGTTTTTTTCACTACTTTAGATTCTATAGTAGAACTATTATGTGTTGAGTTTAAAATGTTATTCACATTGCTAGCGAGAATGAAGAGTTTAAATTGCTATCTTCTTTAAATATTTGGGGTTATCACTCAACTGCTTAGAGAAGAAATTATTTGCTAGATTTGAATTGCCATGCCCTTCTGATGTGATTTTTCATGTTATTGGCAATTATGATAGTAAAGGAGAATATAATGTGCATCGAGTATATATTTGTTCGAATTTGACTATACCTCCTTTTCATGATGAAATGTATTGTCTAGAGGACCGTATATGTATACGTAATTTCTAAACCTCACCTCTGATGTTTGATGAACTTCATTTTCTCGTAAATACTTTGTTTGACCAGATTTCCTGCTATATATATATATATATACTCTCTCACATATGGACAATATAATGGTTTAGGCGACTATTGTCTACATAATCTAGACGACCCACACAATAGAATATTTTAAGCAGATTTTTATAAGTGCCAACCACTGCCTATGTTTTGCTATTAATAGTATAGTTCCTTTCGTGAATTTGCACAAAGACTATAGAAAATCATAATATAAGTGCGACCACGGACTTCATGAAAGTTAGAAAAATTTTCTCAAGCATATAAGCATATAGTCTGACGGTCATTTCATAAAAATCTCTTGATATGATTTTATAAGTGAACAGGATCAAATTAATTTGAATGTACAAGCCGATATGAAATTAAAAGAAGTAGAAGTTTCTGTACATGCTATTAAGAAAATTTAGGTGAACTAAATCCTTATTATGCCTTTTTTTGTTTTCTTCTGACACAATTGTAAGTTTGTTTAGAATACTGTAAGCTGCGGCACCGGAGGATGGCCAACCTCATTGGCTACTGCTGCGACGGCGACAAGCGGCTTCTCGTCGCCGAGTTCATGCCCAACGACACCCTCACCAGGCACCTCTTCCACTGAGTTTCCTCCCTCCCTCCAGTCCCCTATGTTGTTTTCAGGGTGATAAATACAATGAAGAAGAACCTAATGCATTTGATTTATTCAAGGAGTTCCACTACAGCAAGAAAAAAAAAGCTACACCAGTGCTGTACATGAGGCTATTGTAAGATGACTTTCAAACTCTGCTGGGAGCCGTGGAGGAGCTTGCGGCGCTCGACAGCGACAACCACTGTGCAGAGCTTGCTGGCGGCGTTGGATCGACATTGCCTCCAGTCGTTTGCTGTCATGCCAGTCCTGGAAGGCCATGCCGTTGTGCCGCATGTGCATCGCCTCCGCACCTGGCTGTCCGCCGCCAGCGGCTGCGGCCTCCTTAGGGATGCTACCGTCGGGTGTTTTGTCCACCTGCGCGTTGCCATGCGGCAGATGAATAGGCTGGAGCAGCAATACGCACGAACATAAGGTATTTGCTATAATCGTAGGCTTTAGTCCAGCCATGATAATTTTGTTGTTGTCCTGAAAGTTATTATCTTTATTTTATAGTTGCTGCTCATACAATACAGGTGAGGATTCTACCATTAAATGCACTATGACACAATTTGAGGATCAGTTTAGCACTATAAAACCTGATGGGATTCAAGCCAGATGCCATAAAGTACTTGTTTTTTTTTGTTGCACTGGACTTCGGACAACTCTGTCTGATGCTATCTCTGAAACTGCTGCCAATGTTTTCTAACGTAAATGCAGTGCCCTGGTGGGGTTTACTTGAGTCTGTACTAAATTTTGCTTACTCATGTATTATAAGATTCATATATACATTATGTCGCTGGGGTACATGTAATTCAAGTACAATAAGAAACTACTCGTTTGGCAGCAATTTTGCATCATCAAATGCTCAGCAGTAAGCTCTCCTACTCAATTAGGTTCCAGATGATATTTTGGTGACACTAAACTTGCGACCATTGTGCTTGTGGGATGTTATTTTGGTGCTGCTGTGCTTGTGGCCATTGTGCTGTTGCTTCTGTGCTTTTGGCCATTACGTTGTTGCTGCTGTGATGCTATTGCAGATGTGCTGATGTTGCTCTCGCTGTAGCAGGAAGATGAAATTTGAGACTTTGGATATGTATTAAATTGGTGGATGGATGTAATGATATTGCATTTTAAGACTTGTGGAATGTGAAATGCACGTGACATTGCAATCATTTGTGGAATGTTAATTCATTTGAATCTGATTTTGTATGTGCTGAAATATTGTATCTGGGCTGAATTGTATGGGTTGAAAAAATATCAGTTGAGTTTTGTTGGTTGAAAAAATTATATGGGCTGAATTGTGCGGATTGGAAAAATCATATGGGCCGAATTGGTGTGGGCTAAAAATTTGTACAGGCTGCACTAATAAACAAACAAGCAAAAAAATATGTTGGGCTAGCTAGCAACAACCCCAGAAAAAAATATATTTGTGGCCCATGAGCTACATGGGTTTTGTGACGTTTTTTTTTTCAACCATGTCAACTGCCATGTCAGCTGTCATGTGGCAAGCCCCAGTATTTTGTGACAATAAAGCAATGTCTTATGCTTGTGACAATAAATGTACAAACGTCACATACTAAATTTATGACGGCGGCTTTTGCCGTTTGGAATTACGTCAACTGTTTGTCACAAATCTTAATTTTTGACATAAATTTCACATATTATGACATAATAAAATGTCAAAAAGCCACACATCTCTTGTTGTGATCTCAGATCTAGATGACTCAAACAACCTCTAATGAAGATGTGTTCAATAGCAATGTTATAGTACATTTGGAATAATTAAGGGACATAGGCCAAGTAATAATAATTAGGACCATAGACTTTCAACCACAAGTGCTTGTTCATAGTCCGGATTGCAGTTTTATGTAAAGCGAAAGGATTCTAAGAAGCAAATGCCAGACATATGAAAGCAACTATTTACATTTGTGGCCATAACCCAGATGTTCTAAACAAACGTCCTTGCTTCTAAGGATGGGTGTGCAAAATGATGGCATCCTGCACATATAACCAAAAGTGGCATTAACTGCATGTTGTTATTTCCTTCTTCTTCCACTACACAAAGAGCAAAGGAAAATATAGCTTAACAATGTGAGTTTAATCAAAGTTTCTGTAATTTTGTGATAGTTGTTCAAAGATTAAATAGCAGTTGCGCAGACATATAGCCTACCACATATAATTGACCACATGTGAGAATGTTGCATTTCTCTAAGTATGGAAACAACCACTTCTATAAAAGTATGATATTTTCAAAGGTACTTGGTTTATAGCGGTATGTGATGTGGTCTCTCCAACCTACTTGCGTAGGCGGATTCCTTTATGGATCATCTGTACAGTGAAAGAGTAGTGTCCACGAAAATAGTTTTTATGGTAGATTAATGAATTTTGAACCAAGAATATAACGCACATGTAGGTAGGTTTTCTATAGGATTTTAGTGAAATCAAAGATGTTCCGTTGGTTATGTCTTTTGGAGCGTGTGTTAGGGGAAGCATATGCGAGGTGTGTGTGTGATGTTATGTGTGTAGTGGTGTGTGTGCATGTACGTCTGATGTGTAATCGAAAAAAAAAATTGAACCAAGCCATTTGGCAATGAGGCATGGATCGATGGCCCATGATTGATGGGAGGATCGAGTTAACTGAACATGGTGTGTGTGAATCATTCGCAATCAATGATACACTAATAGTGGACTTCTCCAAATGAAGCCAATTGGAAAACCTTATGAATCTTAAACTAAGAAGAAATCATGGTTTCATCCAGACATTTTGGATCAATAATGATCACAGGAACCAGAAGTTCGTTTTTTTACATAATATAGGAACCATAAGTTCTATTCCTTCACAATCACATTACACTCAGCTTTGTCAAACTTGTCCCCATATTTTTTTTTTCAAATTTATTCCAAATATATGGTAGCCACATTACACACAGTCTGTGCTCTTGGCAGAGAAGCCTAGCCTGGTTTCTGATTAATGGTACACAGGTTCCATTCTTGCATATATGTCTTCCAATTCATTATAGGATATGTCATATATGTCCTAATTTATTTTGCAAACATACAATTCAAGAAAGGATGCTTCCCCCATCAACGCATATCACTTGGCCGGTGATGTAGGACGCCGCCGGCATGCAAAGGAACGCCACCAGCGACGAGATTTCCTCCGGGTCACCGACACGACCCAAAGGAATACGGCTGTAGTCGCTCTCTTCGAAGATCTCGCTGGCCACATACTACAGATGTAACAAAATATATAGAAAATGAAGTATAGCTATGGCATGTCTATAAACTTTCATGATCTCCGTTTATTTTTAATTAACTGTTGTTAGAACTAGGAAGGTAGCCCACGCGAATGAGCGGGCATGCATGCGTCGTACACTAAGTTTGAGACACTTATAAGAGTGAAATATTAACTGGAGAACATATGCCACGATTTCTCTGTTGTTTTCATTGGCATTAATTATTTTTATAATTTTCTAACCTATTAGCTTTATATTACATCATATTTAAGTGATATTTATAAGCAATTATTTATAATCTTCTTCATCATTTGAAAAGAAGGTAGACTAATTTTTTTTACAAAACATGTCACCGAAAGTAAAAGTAAGCGTAAAGTAAAAGTAAGGTTTTTTTTTCTAAATGCATATATATTATCATGGTTTATTAGAGAATGAATTGGGTGGGACATAAAGCTCCACTAAATACTTTATAGCTAATATGATTGATGTAGTTTGAGAGGCGGTCCATCCATGAACATTTTACGTAGAGTGGGTAAGAGGTTCTACGCAACCTAACATGAATACAATAATGATAAAATATAGTTGCACAATAATATTTTTGAAATGTGATGTACCATACATACATACTTGTTTTTCTTATAAATAATAGTTCCACCAAATTAAAAGGCATAGGAATATTTCAGAAATGTAGCTTAAAACTTATGGTTGTTTTAATATCCAACATTATTACGAAGTAGACGTGTCTCACTGGTTAGGTTCCTTGTGGTGGAACTTGTCCACTTGGGTTCAAGTCCTAGACTGACAAATTCTTTCAGTGGTAGACAATGTACCCGGTGATAGTGAGGTGCTCGTGGTCACTTTATCAATATCAAAATATGTGGATTCAGTCTCTCAGAAGTACTCATAGGGGTAGGATGTGCGTGCGTGCGTTTATAGGTGTGAGTGTGCATGCGTTGTGAGTGCCTACGTTTGTACTTTGTTTCTCAAAAAAAATATCTAACATTATTGATTGTTTCTCTTTTAGTTTAATAGATAAAAAATAGGGAGGGGACGGACAATGTTGTGTGCATGCGAGGGCAATGAGGAGGTGGAAATCGAAAAGATGGAAAGAGTAATCGATGATAGAAGATAGGAGACAGAGGGAGGGACAGATGTACATAATAATGTTAAGTAGGTGATGATGGGGGAGAGGATGCCCAGGAGGTGGTGGGTTAGGGGTAGGATTGGATTTATGGATGGGTTGTTGGATTTTGTTTAAAGATAGATCTAATGGTGAGATAATTTCTTCAATTTCTCTATTTATTATAGCGCTAATCGATGATTTAGGAATGTTTATAGAAAGTTTAATGGATTTTTAGTATATAATAGATTTAAAAAATACAACATGATCATAAATTAGATACTCCCTCTATCCCATAATATAAGGCGTGGTTAAAATTAGCACGGTCATCAAAACTAACTTTTACCTTATAATTTTTCATATACTATAAGGTCTGTAGTAACAAAATTGTAACCATATGAAAGTAAATTTAAATTTCAATCTAATGATATATTTTTTAACAAATAAAATATTGAATGTTGAAATATGTGCGCGTCTTATACTGTGGGATGGAGGAAGTATATTTTCTTTTAAAAAATTAAAAGATGGTTTAAAGAACATTTATTGGATATTTTATATTTTTTATTATAGATCTTAGTTTTACTATATATTTATATTTGTGAAGTAATATATTTTATTTTTATATTGTAAAATTAAAATAGACCGTCAATTTTTTTTCTTCCGGGCAGCAGAAGGAAAGCTTCGTTTTCAATAGTAATGTGCATACTCAAGTTTTTGTTTCCAATCATACGTACGTACGTACGTACCTACGTAGGGAGACAGCGGTCATGTTTGTATCATATATACAGTCGGAGGAAGTTATTATTTTTTAATAATAAATTTAATTTAATGGTGTAAAATAATGAGTCCACAAATTAAGCGAAAATCAACGGTACGGTTAGAACGGGTCCACCAATTTAAATGAAAATTAACGGTGATATTAGATAGTGTCATGTGGCGTCTTAAGAGCGTTTATAAGAGTACCACATAACGGTGTTAGAGCGTTTGTAGGAAGTTTAATGGACTTTTAATATATAATAGATATCAACATAGCTCTCCTTTTTAAAAGAAGTTACAAATACTTAAGAAGATACCATACTATTATTAACATAAGTAGTACGAAACTTTCGCTTATCATGGCCTAACCAGCTAATAATAACTACGGAGTAGTGATCAAAGAAAAACAGAGTATTTCTCTCCTATGAACCTTGGCTTTTGTTAGCAAATGAAGGAGAAATAATAACGTTATTGCTTTATAGACTCTCACATTAAATGAAGGAGAAAGAAATGATCTTTAAAATTCTCATATTAGCCCTCAAATGAAACATTTTTTACTTCAATGTTTTGGTTGGATAGACTATTATGTACTTTCTTTTATCAGTAATATGTTTTTTTTAATTATCAGTCGAGAAAATTTGCATGATAAATAGCTTAAACTTGTATATTCTGAAAGCTCGCACCTCTAGTATAAATTTACTGTAAATTTTAGGTTTCTTTAGTTTCATTTAATTGCTAGATTAGT